ATAAGAAGTAATGAATGTGATGAATACAGAGAATCAGAGAAAGATCTATATGAACTGATGTTGAATGAAATAAACAGAGCCAAGAAAACAATTGCAACTTTGTAAAAGAAAGGATGAGCAAAAAAAGTGATTGTTGCATGTTTTCAGATTTTTTCAGAGTATTAATTATGCTGATTTTTCCTCTTTTTTATTTTCTTTAAAAAAATACTATTTGTTATGTGAGATGACTGGGTAGGAGAGAGAAAAGTATACTGGGGAGAACTATGATGATACAAAGAAAGACATTAGTAAGAACTTATTTAAAGAAAAGTAGGCCAGATCTCACTCTCGGGGTTAACCCAAGATGGTGGAGTAAAAGCAGTGACTTGCTTGAGCTCTCCCCCAAACCCCTCCAAATACCTGTAAAAAATTAATTCTAAACAAGTTCTAGAGCAGCAGAACCCACAAAAAGACAGAGTGAAACAAATTTTTAGCCCAAGAGAACCTGGATAGTTGGTAGGAAAGGTCTATTTTGCCAGGCTGGGAGAGGAGCTTAATTCAGTGTGGGCCCCACAAGCAAAGACAGGGCCAGAGGAAACCTAGAATAGGCCTGAGGGGACTAAATCACAGGGAGCTGTGGCAGGTTCTAGACTTCTCAACCCACAAATACCAAAGACAGCTTATAAGGTCGGTGGGAAAGGTCTGTTAGACCTCTGTGAAAGAGGAGCATGGTCCCACCCTGGCCCTATCACAGACCCAGGGTGGCAGTGGTTGCTTCTAGAGTTCTTGGGCCACAGAAGATGGTGGGATTGAGTGGCCAATCAGAGGAGGGCTGCAGGGATCTCTTTGCTGGCACTGAGGCAGGATTCTCTTGCTTTGCCCATTCTTCGATCTGGGTCCGTTCTGGGTGACGATCCTGGGGCTAGGAGTGCTGGTGTGGTGGAGCTTGTGGTGCCAGGGGAGAGGGAATCCTCCTCACAGTTCCAAGGCAAAAGAGTGCTTGTGGTCACTCATAGACCAGAGCACAGGCCAGGAAAAGAATAAACACCTCGCCCTTGATTGCACCAATTTGGAAAAACAGGAAATTTACAAGGGCCTAGAAGCATCTCTGAAAACAGCTGCACAAAACTCTTGAAGCTTGGGGCAGTATGTTCTCTACACTGGAAGCAGACCCTTACCATAACAAAGAGCTTAAAACTCAAGTAATTGTCTGGGAACATGAGCGAACTGTGCAAAAAAAAAGTTAGACCATAGATCTTTCTTTGGTGACAAAGAAGATCAAAACATACAATCAGAAGAAGACAACAGAGTCAAAGCTCTTTACATCCAAAGCCTCCCAAGAAAAATATGAATCAATCCCAGGCCATGGAAGAGCACAAAAAGGATTTTGAAAATCAAATAAGAGAAGTAGAGGAAAAATTTGGAAGAGAAATGAGAGTGATGCAAGAAAATCATTAAACGAGTCAACAGCTTGTTAAAGGAGACCCAAAAACATACTGAAGAAAATAACACCTTAAAAAATAGACTAACTCAAATGGCAAAAGAGGTCTAAAAAGCCAATGAGGAGAAGAATGCCTTAAAAAGCAAAATTGGCCAAATGGAAAAGGAAGTCCAAAAGGTTACTGAAGAAAATAATTCCTTAAAAATAAGAGTGGAGCAAATGGAAGCTAATGACTCTATGAGAAACCAAGAAATTATAAAGCAAAACCAAAAGAATGAAAAAATATAAGACAATGTGAAATATCTCATTGGAAAAATAACTGTTCTGGAAAATAGATCCAGAAGAGATAATTTAAAAATTATTGGACTTTCTGAAAACTTTGATAAAAAAAAAAAGAGCCTAGACATCATCTTTCAAGAAATTATCAAGGAAAACTACCCTGATATTCTAGAACCAGAGGGTAAAATAGAAATGGAAAGAATCCACCAATCACCTCCTAAAAGACATCTCAAAATGAAAACTCCTAGGAATATTATAGCCAAATTCCAGAGTTCCCAGGTCAAGGAGAAAATACTGCAAGCAGCCAGAAAGAAATTGAAGTATTGTGGAAACACAATCAGGATAACACAAGATTTAGCAGCTTCTACATTAAGGAATCAGATGGCTTGGAATATGATATTCTGGAGGTCAAAGGAGCTAGGATTAAAACCAAGAATCACATATCCAGCAAAACTGAGTATAATCCTTTGGGAAAAAAATGGAAATGCAATGAAATAGAGGACTTTCAAGCATTCTTTATGAAAAGACTAGAGCTGAATAGAAAATTGGACTTTCAGATACAAGATTCAAGAGAAGCATGAAAAGGTAAACAGGAAAGAGCAACCATAAGGGACTTATTAAAGTTGAGCTTTTACATTCCTACATGGGAAGATGATATTTGTAACTAATGAGACCTTTTTCAGTACTAGGGTAGTTGGAGGAAATATATACATACATACATATTATGTGTATATATATATACACACACACACACACACACACACACACACACACACACATATACATATACATACACACAGACAGAGGGCACAGGGTGAATTGAATATGAAAGGATGATATCTAAAAAACAAAATTAAAGAGTGAGAAAGGATTATAATGGGAGAAAGAGAAAGGGAGAGGTAGAATGGGGTAAATTATCTCATATAAAAGACACAGGAGAAAGCTTTAGAGTGGAGGGAAAGAGAGAGAAGGTGAGAGGTAACGAATGAACATTACTCTCATCAGATTTGACTTGAGGAAGGAATAACACACACTCATTTGGGTATGGAAATCTATCTTACCCTACAGGAAAATAAGGGGAAGAGGATAAGAGGGGTGGGAATAATATTAGGGAGGGCAGATTTGGGGAGAGGGGTAATCAGAAGCAAACACTTTTGAGGAGGGACAGGGTCAAAGGAGAGAACAGAATAAATGGAGTGCAGGATAGGATGGAGGGAAACAGTCTTTCACAACATGATCATGGAAGTGTTTTTCATGACTACACATGTATAACCTATATCGAATTGTTTGCCTTCTCAGTGAGGGTGGGTGGGGAAGGAGGAAGGGAGAGAATTTGGAATTCAAAGTTTTAAAAATGAATGTTAAAAATTGTTTGTACATGCAAATGGGAAATTAAATATACAGGCAAAGGGTTATAGAAATCTCTCCTGCCCTACAGGAAAATAGAATAGGAAAGGGATAACTGAAGCAGGAGGGGGGTTGATAGAAGGGAGGGCAGTTTGTGGGAAGGGTTATTTAGAACTCACTGTCTTGGGGTGCAGGAAGAGGAGTGGTGGGGAGAAAATTTGGAACTCAAAATCTTGTGGAAGTGAATGTTGGAAACTAAAAATAAATTTATTAACTTAAAAAATAAATATAAAAAAGAAAAGGAAAAAAGAAAAGTAGGTCGGTGGAGCAGGTTAGACAAGAAAAATCAGAAATAATGGAGCTCAATAATCATGTGTTTGATAAACTCAAAAACATAAATTACTTGGTGAAGAACTTCTTACTTGATTTAAAAAAATCTATTGGGAAAACTTGAAAGCAGTCTCTCAGAAAAAACTGGGCCGAGATCAATGCCTTATGCTATATTCCACAATATATTCAAAATGAATATACAACTCGAATATTACAGATCGTACTATTAAAAGTTTCAATAGAAGCAGAGCATATACCTTCCCTAGCTATAGATAGATGTATTCTTAACCAAAAAGAAGGTACTGAGGCAATTACAAAAGATAAAATAGAAAATTTTGGTCACATGAAATCAAAAAACTTCGGCAGAAACCAAATTAATAGATTCGGGATAAGAAGAGAAGTAGGAAAAAACATCTTTGTATCAAATTTCTTAGATATCCAAAAGTTTGATATCCAAAGTGTATGGACAAATAGCAAATATGTGAGACCAAAAGCCATTCCAAAAGTTGGAAACACATAGATGTCTGTCATTTAAGAAATGGCATAAAATTATGGTACATGAATGTAAGATAATGTTGCTATGCTATAATAATAATAATAATAATTTGCTATGCTCTAAGAAATAACAAATGAGATGAATGCAGAAAGGCATAGGAAAAATTAAACTTATGCAAAACAAAGTAAGGAGAGCCAAGAAAACCATATACACATTGACTACAACAGTGTAAGTTTTAAAAGCCACAAAACAATAGAAATAAACGTTCTAGAACTGCAAAGAACAAGCTTGGCCCCAAAGAAGACATATGACAAGATAACTCTCCTAGCTCTTTTAGAGAATTGGCAAGGGCTACAGGTATATGGGGTTGGGTCTTTGGTTGGTATTGATCAGTACATATATGGTCAGATTTTAAAATATGTTGATCTTTATTCTATTCCTCTCTTTCTTAAAAAACAAAACAAAACAAAACAAAACAAACCCACAAAACTTTGTTATACAGGATGACTTTCTGGGAAGGAGAGAAATATAGGGAGAAATTTCAGTGATGTTAAAATATTAATTACATATGAGTGTATATACATACACATATGCACATATGCATATGTGTGTATATATATCTTTAAATGCAGACATATTAAGATAGGTAGTTGAATAATATCCTTTTGGATATGTGTATATATACATACATACATATATATATATATATATATATATTATATATATATATATATATATATATATATATATATGTTTAAATGCAGGCATATTAAGATGGGTATTTGAATAATATCCTTTTGGATGATCTTTATCTCAGTAAAATAGGAAAGAAGAGAGAACTGGGATAGAGTTGTAGCCAAATTAAGGGAAGAGGAAGTTTGAAATAATTGCTGTGTGGAATAGGAATGGGATTTGATAAATAATAAAAAAAAATGTTGAGGGCCCCAAGTTTGTGTAGCATAAATGTATAAAACATAATGATTAGATGATTAGCATTATGTTAGAATGTCTAAAATTACAAACTGTACTGACTATTTCATTTTTTCCCCTGCAAACAATTATAAAAATTCTATTTCAAATGTAATGTAGAGCTAACTTTGGTTTTCAATCTATATTGTTGATTTTTAGGCTAAAGACCTTATAGAGAAATTTTTTGTCCAACAAGCAAGAGTTCTGAGAAAACATTTTCAGATACTTCCTGAGATATACTATATTGAAGGTACTCTGCAAACGGTGTGGATTCGTCATTGCAGTCCAGGATATGGGATGAATGCTTTGTTACATCCAAATTGCCCTGAATGTTGTGGTATGTAATTAGTTGTCAAGTCACATTACTAAATTGTCTGTTCTTAGTTTTTTAAGATAATAATGACACTTGCATTTTTGTTTAAAATTGCTATTTTGTCATGTATTTAACATAAGTGCAGTTATTCCCCAATTGATAAATGGTCAAAGGATAGGAACAGACAGTTCTCAGATGAAGAAATTAAAGCCATCTATAGTCATATGAAAAAATGCTCAAATCATTATTGATTAGAGAAATGCAAATCAAAACAACTCTGAGGTACCACATCCCGCCTATCAGATTGGCCAACATGATAAAACAGGAAAATGATAAATGTCGGAGAAGATGTTGGAAAATTGGAACACTAATGCATTGTTGGTGGAGTTGTAAAATGGTCCAGCCATTTTGGAGAACAGTTTGGAACTATGCCCAAAGGGCTATAAAAATGTGACCCAGCAATAGCACTTCTAGGGCTCTATCCTAAAGAGATCATACAAATGGGAAAAGGACCCACATGTACAAAAATATTCATAGCAGCTCTTTTTGTGGTGGCAAAGAATTGGAAATTGAGAGGATGCCCTTCAATTGGGGAATGGCTGAGCAAGTTGTGGTATATGAATGTAATGGAATACTATTGTGCTGTAAGAAATGATGAACAGGTTGACTTCAGCAAAACGTTAAAAGACTTGTGTGGTCTGATGCTGAGTGAAGTGAGCAGAACCAAGAGAACTTTGTGCACAATAACAGCCATGTTTTGTGATGACTAATACTGATAAACTTAACCCTTCTCAGCATTACAAGGCTCTAAGACATTTTCAGAGGCCTCGTGATGGAAAATGCTATCCACATCCAAAGAAAGAACTATGGAAGTTGAATCACTATCATTTTTTTTTCTCTTCTGTTGAGTTTTGTATCATCTTTCTGATGGTTCCTCCTATTGGTTAATTTTTACTTATAACTTCACTAATGTGAAAATACGTTTAATAGGAATGTAAATGTATAGCCTATATCAGATTGTGCGCTGTCTTGGGGAGGGTGGTAGGGAGGAAGGGAGAGAAAAATTTTAAACTCAAAAGCATATGGAAGTTACTATTGATAAATCAAAATAAATTAATAAAATTTTAAAAAATAAGTGCAGTTGTACATTTTGGAAAGAGAAAACTTGAAAAAGAAAAGAATGAAATTGATATCAGAATTGATATTGGTGTTACAATAGGGGATGGTGGGAAAATGGAAGTGGCAGATTGTGAGCTTAAGAATCTGTTAACAGAATTGTAGCTGTTTATACTCAGAATCATAGAATTTGAGAATTGGAAGGGAGCTTGATTGTTATCTTTTTCTTTTTTCTTTTCTTTTTTTTTTTTTTTAGGCAATTGGAGTTAAGTGACTTGCCCAGGGTCACACAGCTAGTGTCAAGTGTTTGGTCTGAAGCCAGATTTGAACTTAGTCCTCCTGACTTCAGGGCTGGTGCTCTATCCACTGCGCCACCTAGCTGCCCCTATAGCCATCTTTTTCAAAACATACACAAAAAAGGATTTCCAACTATACAACAACAGCTTTTGCTTAAAGATCTCCAAAGAGGTCTTTAATGCACCACTTTCCCGGCAACCAATTTCCACTTTTAGACAGCTCCAATTGTTAGCAAAATATTCCTGACATTGAGCCTAAATTGCAGCATCTGTCCATTACTCTTTGAAGCTTTTTTCTATTATTGCTGGGTTTGCATTCTGGACATAAGTGGTCCCTCCTCCACATAGCAACCTTCAATTCATATATTTGAAGACAGCTGTCATTTCCTCTGTAAAGCTTCTTTTCTCCATGCCAACCATGACCAGTTCCTTCAACCAGTCTTCATATGACATGGAGTTAAGTCCTTTCTCCATCTCCTTTGGATATGTTTCAGATGATTAATCTCTTTCATAAGCTTTGGCACCTAGCATTTAACACAATATTCTGGAAGAAGTCTGACAAGGACAGAGTATGGCAAGAGTATTATTTTGGCATTCGTAGAAGTTATTCTTCTCTTAATGCAACCCAAGATCATATTATGTTGGGGTTTTTGGCTGCCATATTTTACTACTGTATACTATAAAACCCCTAGATCATCTTTGCAGTTGTTGTCTAATTATGCCTTTCCCATCTTATACTTGCAAAATTGATTTTTTTTGTACTCAAATGCAAGACTTTATATTTATCCATAACTAATTTTATCTTTTTCATCTCAATGCTCTAGATCTTTTTGGGTGTTGAATCTATTATCCAACTTGTCTGTGTAAATTGGATGAAATCACCCTCCATACTTTTATTCATTAATAAAATGTTAAACAGTACAAAGCTTAGATATCTACAGTGCTATACTAGAGTCTTCCCAGCGCATTGAATAATTAACAACTCCTCTTTGAGTCTGTCCTTCTAAAGCTAGTTTTGAATCAGTTATAGTTATTGTCTAAACCATATCTCTCCATGAGATACCCAATCTTTTTTGTTTTACATTTTAAATTGTTTTTATTTTATATTTTTAATTAATAAGGATTTGTTTTCTCTCCATCTCATGTTCCCCTCACATTAGAAAAAGAAAAGGAAAACCCTTACAACAACTATCCACAGCCAAATTTAACAAATTCTCACATTGACCATGAATAAAAGTTTATATTATGAAATAGTTTGTCTAAACCTTTGCTAAATCTAAGTAAACTGTAACTACAGCTTTCTCTATGTGTTCTGGTCCAATAATCCTGTCCAAAAATGGAAACAAGGTTACTTTGGCCTGTCCTGTTCTTAATGAAGCTATTTTCTTTGTAATCGCCTCTTCACTTTCTAAATGTTGACCAATCATCCCTTTAATACTCTATTCTAGAACTTTTCCAGGAATAGAGGTCAAATTCACTGAATGACAGTTTGCATACTGTTTTATTCTGTTTCTAGAAAATCAAGATATTTTGTTTTTTCCCCAATCTTAATGTAACTCTCCCCTTTTCCGTGATATTTCAAATATCAGAGTGGCATAGCAATCATACCTGCCAGTTCTTTTAGTTCTTAAGATGTAGTTCATCTGGGGCAGGTGACTTGAAGTCACAAAGGGCTGTCAGGTGCTCCCTGGCCATCTATTATCTTGAATATCAACTCTCTGTTTGTCATTTTTGTTCTGTCATTTTCAATGTAAAGGTCATTTTCTTTTGCAAAAAAAAAAAAAACGCAACAGAATTGGAGCAGTTCTAGCCAAAACTTCTATCTTTGTCAGTTGTCATTTTCCTGTGCACCCCTAAACCAAGATCTTGGACCCAATCTTTGATCTTCCTCTTTCTGTCAATACATCTAAACAAAACCCTTCTTGGTGTCCTTAGCTTCCTTCCCTAGTCCCATTCATTCAAAGCTTTGGCATTCCTGACACACTCTTTTTTATTGGACCAGGCCATGCTCTTACAGTTATCTTCTTTTACCTTTGTATGCTTCCCTCTTTGCACATTTCTTTTAAAAATCTAAATTAGTTGGTAATTTCCCTGTGCATCCATATTGTTCTCTGCAGACTAAGGTATTTTTACTCTTGATCAAAATTGTTTCTTTTATTGTTTTCATAATTTTGTCCCTGAGCTTCTTCAATCCCTCCTGATCTAACTTCCTCTGAAGCATTTTAGACCATGGGATCCTATCTTTCCTCTAAACTCTTTCACATGTCATTGGTATGTACCTTCCCTTTCCTTCCCTTCCTTGTTATGAAACAAACAAACAAACAAACAACCAAACCAAACAGTAAAAGAAGAAAAAGTGAAACAAGGAAAGAACTCTTCCTAGCCTACACAAAATCAAAACTCACTGACATTGATTTAATTAGTTGCTTTATTTACTTTTACCTTTAATTTTAAAAAGTGAATGCTATCTCATTTTAATGTTTTCTTGGTATTTGTTTTCATTTTTGTTTTAAGATTGTAGGTCTGAATCATCACTGTTCTTTTATCTGACTTTTTAAAAATATTTTTTATTATAGATTTAAATACTAAAACTTAAATAGAAAATAAGAAAAGAAAAAGAAACATGTCATGGGTACAGGAGAATGTAAGAGAGGATTCAAAATATATAGCAATAAATTTCCATTTCAAGAAAGCCTATGTAATAAATACTATGTATTGTGTTGAGAGTTGTCCATCTTTTCTTTGCTTCCTTGTGAGTTTTCTTTTGTTCTGTGCTGTGCACTTTTTACTTTGTTCTTTTTTCCCTCTTCCTCTCCCCTCCCCCCAGAAGGCTAAAATTAAGCTTGGATATATTTATTTATATATGTATAATATATATACATATATTTATATATGTATAACATATATTTTATATGTACATATATATAAATATGTATTTATATATAGATATATAGATATAGCTACATATATACATATGTACACATGCATATTATATATACATACATATGTAAATATGTGTTTTAGCTAACAAATTCTACTTCTAATCTTTGTTTTTGTTTGTATGTCTCTTTTATTTCCTATCCTTCCTGACTTTTCTACTTTACTTCTACCTGCTATCTTGCCCTCTTATGACTTAATCTACTCCTCCTCCAAAGATTTCTCCCTTATCCTTCCATTCCCATAAATCTGAACACCTTTCTATCCCCCCCCCCTTAACCTATTCCTTCACCCTACCCTCTAAAGATCCCTGCCTTAAAATTGGAAAAGAGTATGTCAGAAACTAGGCAGAGACCAAAATCTTACGTCATCTACCAAAATGAAGTCAAAATGAGTACATGATTTAGATATAAAGTCTGATACTATAAGCAATCTGGGAGAGTAAGGAATAGTTTACCTGTCAGATTTATGGAGAACAGAAGACTTTATGACCAAATAAGATATAGAGAGTATTATGAAATACAAAATGGATAATTTTGATTACATTAAATTGAAAAGTTTTGCACAAACAAAGCCAGTGCAACCAAGACTGGGAGGGAAGTAGAAAACTGGGAAAGAATTTTTACAACCAGTGTCTCTGATAAGGGCCTCATTTCTAAAATACATAGAGAAATA